CGCCGCAGCCGACACAAGGGAGCGAGGAGGAACTCGAGAGGAAGGAAACCCGTCGAACCCGTCTCCGACTCCGGGGCCTCCGACATGGTAACATGAGCCCACCCGTTCTCCGTTCTTGGTTAACCTTGCTCTTGCCGTCGCGCACAGTGCCCATCTGCCTGTCCACAGTGCGCCGTAGTTTGTTTTTTCCCCCGGAGAAAATGCGCAAGAACTTAGCTCTGAAATCCGTTGCCGCCGGCGGACGCTCTCTTTTTTCCAACGAATTCCCTGAAGCTTGAGTAGGTAAAAAGTAGTTTTCCACCGTTTGTCCTCGCCGCTCCACTCATCCAGGACGAGAAGTAGTTGTACTTCACAAGATCCCTCCATAATGCGCGTGATTCAGTCAGTGTCGATTTGGGGTAGGTCCTGGAGATGAACAGGCGGAGTAGCAGTGTTAAAGTTTTGGCCTCATGGCCAAGAACTGATACCGTCTACTTTTAAAGTACTATTATTAGTTGTGTTGTGAATCTACAGACGGGCCTAAGCTTTAGGCGGATGGAGACACTCAGACACATGCCCTTGTTAGTTAATTCGGCACCTCAATTGTTAATGGTGGCGCTTTAGTTTCTAGAGACGTTGTTCAGTTGTCGGTGAGGGTTAGGAAACCCCAAGTATGTGTGAGATGGCCAGCCTGTAGAGTTTATTATTCGTGGTCATGTAGTTTAATGGATCCATCTGCGGTGTGTTTTGTCCAATGATGAGATATGGGAAGTTTGCAACCGGGATCTCTCATGGGTCTTTCGGTCTGCGAATAGCCTGTCGACAACTCCATGATGCACATTAGTGCTCGTTGTTGCTTCCCTACAAGGAATGGCGGCCTTCCTTTTTGAAAAGGAAGAAGAAAACAATGAAACGAGATTATTTCAGACGAAGATGCAAGCTCAAGTTCTTGCGCATTGAGCAAGATGCAAGCTCAAACAATGATATCTTGCGCATTGAGCGTCAACATGATTTATGGTCCTTGGTCATGACCGTTCTACACTCGTTATCTGCAATCATATCATTGTTGGATGTGGACCTGCAAATCGCTTTATTAGCTTGTGTCACGCTGATGTTCCACCAGCTGAGGTTCAGACGCACTGAACAGTCCCATTTAGTGGAATTCTGTTTGTTCGAAAGCCACTATCCTGACAGGCGTTTGCGACGAATTGGTTCGGTCCTGACAGGCGTTTGCAATGAATCGGTTCGGTTCAGACGATTGCTACTGGCAACCAACTACACCTAATCTCACTCTTTAGAAAGGTGCAGCTAATGGCAGTTGCCATGTTGTAGCAGCACCACCTGTTAATCAGCTGTCCTCGTAACATTTATTCAGATATACTACTGTTTTACAAGTGCACAAAGAGTGATATCATGGCTAACTGTCCTGCACTTCTACTGTAGGCGAACGCTGCGTCAGGCATGGCTGTGGACGACGAATGCAAGCTCAAGTTCCTCGAGCTGAAGGCGAAGCGAACCCACCGCTTCATCATCTACAAGATAGACGACAAGAAGAAGATGGTTGTTGTGGAGAAGGTCGGCGAGCCTGCCCTGAACTACGAGGACTTTGCCGCCAGCCTCCCCACCAATGAATGCAGATATGCGATATTCGACTACGACTTTGTCACCGAGGAGAACTGCCAGAAGAGCAAGATATTCTTCGTCGCATGGTCAGTGATGCCTCCCATCTGTTCTTCGACTCACTGCTCACTCTTCACAACGCGCAACTGTGTAGTAACAACCGATTCATTCTGAATGTCCATGCAGGTCTCCTGACACCGCACGCGTGAGGAGCAAGATGATCTACGCGAGCTCCAAGGAGAGGTTCAAGAGGGAGCTCGACGGCATCCAGGTGGAGCTGCAGGCGACAGACCCGACCGAGGTTGGCTTCGATGTGATCCAAGGCCGTGCCAACTGAGCACCATAGCTGTGCTGCTGCTTACCTTAAGTATGAGCCTCTGATGAGGATTTAGCGCGCTTGCCGAGGCTGGTCATGAGCTGTTTACCATGAGGCAATTGTGATTGAGTTGCCAGTATGTACCACCTAAGGAAGATGTAAGCTGTGACTGGTGCGACGACAAATGTATCCTTTCTGGTTGTTGATTCGTGGGTCCTGATATCCCCCCTTCTTACCTGCTAAGATCAGTTGCATCTTCATGGTAAATTTTTGGTAGATTCTTGCTGTGAGCTTTCATACTAGGATCACTGGTTCTTGAAACTAATGATGCCCACTGAGGCTTATTATGCAACACATTTTGATGATAAATCCAATTCAGAAGTTCCTATTAGCATGCCTCATGCTCTGCTTCAAGTATCTAACTGATTTTGCAAAAGAAGCATCTCACTGACAGGAGTGAATTTCAAACTGGCAAATGACAGTAACCTAGGTTAAACATCAAATGCTAAGTTTCATGGGGATGATTTGCAACATTTGTATGTAGACATGCATCAGGATGCAATGATTTCAAATGTTTTTACTTGAACATCCATCTAAAGATGGATTGGGCAGGGGGGATAATGGTGTTCTGATAAATACTGATTTTGAACACTGCCTCCAGCAGATCAGTTTAAACATAACTACTATGGAGAACTGGCCACGACCAGCGAATCTTTAGATAAGGCAGCAACTGTTGTGTAGTAATAGATTGATGGTAGTTTTGTCCAGCAGAACATACATAGTTACATACACAAACTAGTCCAAAATTCAAGCGATTGCTACGAAATAACGCTAGGGCAGAAGTTCTCTAGCACATCACGTGCAATGGGAGGTACATGGTGATAACAACACACATGATTTATTTATGTACAGCCATCCTATTTACATAACAGAGATCCCGCGGGCGTTTCAGGAGGCCTCGGCGGTGGAGAAATGCATTTTAGCAGCCGACTCGAGCAGGAAGCTGGTTCCGCATTTGGCCTCTTGGCTGCTGATGCCATAGTCCAACATCTCGGTCTCAAGCTTGCCAGGATCGGCTTGGGCCTCGCTACCAATGGGGGTGCCAAGGTCTTCCAGTCTGGCAAGCACAAGGTGCACAGATCAACAAACTTTGTCTACAGGTTGGTGCTGGAAGTTAACAGCAGGAAAAGTTCTAGTGATCTTACTCAGGAGTCTGGAGCACAGCTTGATTTTGGGCAGCGTTGTTGGTTTTTTTCTTGTTCCTGGCCTTCCGCTTCTCTTTCTGTTTGGTCTTGTCCTTCTTACGAGGCTTTGGCCGCCGCTGGTAACTGTTGTTCACAGAATGAGAAACGGATGAAACAGGGGGGTCATACACGTCGGCCGCCCATTTGATGTGGCGATCCTCTGCTGGTAAAGGAATCCCATTCTTTTGGCGGCTTCCTTTGATAGCAGGGATGAGCTTCACAGTTGGCTGCAGAGGCAAGAAAAGGAAGAGGTTGGTTAGTTTCCTCATTACGCAATATTAATAGCAACAAAACTATTTCTGGCTTGCCGACAAATAACGTTCCATAGAGCACATGTAACTTGTCAACATGGGGTTGATAATTAGTGAGTTGGTTCACGTGAACGAAAAGCGATTCTGGTTGTATATACACTTCCAAATCAATGACTGTAACCGACAATTGTAAAGCATACCCCAGTTGTTTGGCAATACCACAACTGCAGAAACGAACACAACGATTTATGCAGGTCAACATTGTATTATTGTCTTGCGGTGTCATACTTGCTGTTACTTCCTTGTAATGGAAAGAACAGACCGACCTATTGCATTACATGCAGTTTGTGAAATTATACACAGCAAGCAACATGTTATCTATACCTCTCCACACTAAATATCAACACATGGTTTATAATGCTCAAACAAATACAACAAAGAAGCCATAAATTAATCAACACTCTTATAAATCCCTAAGCATTAAGCCTTGAGCCTCCAAAGAATGTGATGACAGGTCAGAAACCTGGATAGTTGTTTCAGTAGTTCAGCATATCATTACCTAGCTTAAAACCTGTACACATACTAGCGACTAGTTGGGAACTAGCTTGCTGCTAGATTTTAAAAAATCATGATCACAATGACTGACACAACGCAGACTAGATGTTCATGTCTACTAGTAGTATAGTAGGAAATGGATCGAAAGCATGATACTACTTGTGGATCTTTTGGCAAATGATAACACACAGCACAAGTTACTCACAGGCAAGGACACAGAGCGCTGGTAAGTGTGCGCGTCCTTCGGCGCGTCATCATCGGCGTCACAGCATGAGTCCTCCGGTTCGGCCTCAGCGGCAGATGACGATGACGGAAACGTTGCGCACTTCTGGAGGTCCTTCTTTAACCCCAAGCCGGCCGGCTTGGAGAAACCTGCACACATTCCAGCCTCCACTGAACAATCTGCATTCTCCCCCTGTCCAGAAGCTCTATCCAGGGCAGACTGCTTCCCTGGAGAAATGTCCGTGCCGCCGGCGACAGCAGAAGAGGCACCCGCACCATCAGATGCCACTGCCGGCACGCTCCCAAGATCACAGGATTGACCATCCATCAAGAAACCAGCGTCCTAGAACAGCAACCACAGACCACACACCTGCGTGCATCAAACAACCACAAGGCCATCGTCAGCTGACTGATTAAGGATCCACTAAACTAGCAGCTAGCTCTGTTTTTCGTCCCTGCTCAGATTAAGAGCCCTGGCAGTAGATCCTAAACGAACGTTAAACAGCAGTGCTAATTAAAAAGATCGACAGTGCTATCACTGGATGCAGGTCTGCGCCAGATTCGGCGAGGTTAAAAGAGAGGCGGTCGGTCGGTCGGCGGCGTACCCCGGTCCCGGCGCCGGCGATCCAATCCCACGAGCAGAGGCAGGGCAGTCGACAGTGACGAGAAGCAGAAAAGTCTACCTACGAGAGGAAGGAGGGGGGAGGGGAGGGGAGGGGACGG